CCACCCCCGAATTGGATCAGGAGCCGTAGGCTGATTTTCAGTCTCTGCAAACTTGTGGAGGTGATTCCTGGCACACATTAAAATGCATCTCACTGACAGTGTCTTCGGGCGGTATTCAGGAGTTGCATTTAATCATTGCATTTTCATTCACTGAAAATGTGTAGGCAAACTTACTGTAAAGTTTTTTATGGCCTAATTAGTTTTTTTCTAGGACAAAACATTTGTCAAAATCTCAATTGTTTGCTAATCGAATACAGACGGTTCTTTATTAATCAGTTGAAGGTTTTATAATTCACCTCATTATTGACACCTATTCCTCTGCTGGAAGTCTTGCAGTGCCCCCTTCCACGCTCAGCAGCTCTGTGATGTGATGTACTTTCTTGAACTTGATAAGATCTGCTATTCTCTCCAAGGCAAATCCCAAAAGTTCTTGGTTAAGTGGCAGCTCTTCCTGACCTAATTTAGTTCATTATAACCCCCATCTCATGACAGTGACCCTGTTCTAACCCTAATCTTTTGTCCATCCTGTATTTATTGACCCTTTTTTAAACGTTATTTATTTACTTATTCATCAATTTTTTTCTTTCTTTTTAATTTCTCTCTGTGCAGTTGTTGTTGTTGTTGTTTGCTTTCTTTATTAGACTTATACTATATTAAAGAGAAGATTTAATATGCTCTATTAAAGGTTCTTTTATTTCTTGGTTTGTGAGAAAGACTTTTTGCTATGTCAAACCATGTCTCGTCTTTTGTTCCCTCAATAAATATGTTGAAGAAAACAAAAAAACTGAATTGTTTATTCATTAATCACTTTTTATTCACTATATTGCCCAAAGTGTTCACTCGTCTGCCTTAAAAATGCATGTGAAATTGAGTGACGTCCTATTTTCTGACTATTCTTCCAGAAGAAAGTGTGGGGTCAGACACTGGCTTGCAGTCTCTGCTCTAATTCATCCCAGAGGTCAGGACTCCATGCAGACCAGCCAAGCTCTTTCCACCAAACCTTTTCATCCATGTCTTTATGGACCTTGCTTTGTGCACTGGTGGGCAGTCATGTTGGAACAGGAAAAGACCATCCAAAAAACTGTTCACACAAAGGTGGGAGCATCAAATTGCCCATAATGTCTTGGTATGCTGAAGCATTAAGAGTTCAAGCTAACTCCTGTAAAACAACCCCATGCTACAATCCCCCTCCACCAAATGTTATACTTGGCACAATACAGTCATGTTTCCCTGGCAACTGCCAAACCCAGACTCATCCATCAGGTTACCAGGAAGAGAAGCTTGATTCGTCACTCGAGAGCATCTCATGTCTCCACTGCACTAGATCCTATAGGCAGCATGCTTTAAACCACTGCATTTTGTGCTATTTGCGCTTGGTGATGTTAGGCTGGATGCAGCTTCTCGACCACAGAAACCCATTCGACGAGCTCTCTACCCGCTGTTCTTGAGCAAATCTGAAGGCCACATAATGTTCAAAGGTCTGTAGCTATTGAGTTGCCGTTGTCACCAATAACTTCCACTTGGTTATAATACCATTAACAGCTGACTGTGGAATATTTAGTAGCAAAGAAATTTCACGAATGGACTTGTTGCACAGGCAGCATCGTACCACAGTACCGAGCTGGAATTCACTGAGCTCCTGAGCACCACCCACTCTTTCACAAATGTTTGCAGAAGTGTGACAAAGTGTGTGACACTCACCTGTACAGGAGCGAAAATATGGTGTGATTAATGCTTTTTATGAGATCAGAGGAAAAAGTGAACTGGGCTTTTTTTTGTCTCACAAAGCCATTTTAAACATTTGATTAAACGTTCGTAAAAACAGCTTAGAGAGAAATATAAATATCGTATGACCTTGAGACAGTGAAATATTATTACTGTAGTGGTGAGCCAGCGTGAGTGCAGCCAGGCCCTTCCTTCCATATGGCTGCTTTACAAGCTGCATGAAGTGAAAAATGGCTTTCGCGCCTGACCAGCGACACATGGCTGAATAGAGCCAAAAATGAGTTTTGTGGCTGGATTGTAAAAAGGGAAATAGTGCCAGTAGTGACTTTGGAGCTGGGCTGACATCTGCATGGTGCAGCCCCCTATACTTATTACGGACTCTCTGCTGGAAGAGGTGCAACCCACCTTTAACACCAATTATCTCACAGAGCAGTCTGAGGCCTGAGAGGGTTGCGCATCCTTGATCTGAAGCGACAAGGACGGGACACAAAGTGTGACATGAATAATCAAGTTACCCTCCATCTGATTGCAATTCCCAGTTCAAATTTCACATTAATAAAAGAGAAAAGTTTAAAAGTTGGTTTGCATTGTTAAAGTTTTGTCCCCTCATCGGATCCTCCTCCAGAACATCTAATTTCAAAGCTGCGTTATATCAATATAGGCTTACTCCCCAGAGTCCTGATGTGTCTCGGGTTTGTTGCTAAGTTGAAAGTAGACCAGCTGTATTCTTTCTCATTATTCAGCAGCATTTGATGCAGAGTCTAGCAGACGGAGACAAACTGTTGTGAACCCGAAGCAACAGTCAGAGAAACTTTAAGTTATCTGTGTAAAAAAAAGGTGTCATGCAAGGACTCTTTGTTGTTTAGCCATGTCACTCAGCACCTACATACATATTTAAAAAGTTTCTCCTTCAAGTAATGCCCCATCCCTTCCCCCTCCCCCCAACATCACTGCAGCATTTACAATGATTTCTTACTCTTCTCTGATCTGCAGACTCCACAATGAAGGAAAGCTGCTCTATTCTTCTGCTCTTTTTGGGACAGGGTTTCTCATTAACACTGATAAATGGCTTGTTGCGTGCACTTGACTTGAGTCTGAATATGTGTGATTTTGCACCTCAAGATGACTTGGCATGAAATGTTTCAGGGAAAAAAACACATTAAAGAAGGAATGAATGATCAAAATGGAGCTTTCATTGGCTTGGTGTGCTCGTAAATTATACCACAGCGGCAATTTCACATTGTAAATACCTGATAAAAAGAGGAAAGTTAAACCCTAATGGAGTGAAGAAAAGACTGAAACATTTTTCAAGGACTTTAGAGCATTAACGACATTAAAAGATGCGATAAGAGCAACCGACACGATAAAGCAATTAACGTCAGGTAGAGATTAATTACCGGCAATGATGCACTTCATTAGTGACGCTTTGCGGTGGTGCCAGTACAGATGAGCAAGTCAGCAAGTCCCTGACACTATGAGCATCTGGTAAGAACACCACGTTTAAAGGGATTGTTTAGTATTCACACACAGTGCACCTGCCTACAACAGTTAAAGGGTCTTAATTTCAACGTGAATATTATTACAGGAAAACTTTGGGCTCTAAAGGTCATCCTTAGCATAAACAAAACCAAGAATCAAAAGCAATGCAAGCTGCTGTGAAGCACTACTAAGGCGCAGCAGGGCATGGAGTAGACTTCTAATGTCAGTATGTTAATATTCTAAAAAAAACAATGTTATGCTAATGATCAGCGGATATAATGTTTACCCTGTATACAACCTGAGGCAAGTCAGTGTGGTAACATTTGCTAATTAGCACTAAACATAGTGCAGCTGAAGCTGATGGGAATGTTATTCATCTGATTAAAACCAAAGTAGCAA